TGCCGGTCTTGTATTGGTCTTGTGCCGGTCTTGTATTGGTCTTGTGCCGGTCTTGTATTGGTCTTGTGCCGGTCTTGTATTGGTCTTGTGCCGGTCTTGTATTGGTCTTGTGCCGGTCTTGTATTGGTCTTGTGTGGTCTTGTGAATGTCTTAAGTTGTCTTGACTACAGCACTACAAGTGTTACCAAATCTTGGCATTTTGTACAAAATAACAAGATCAAGCACAAGATCAGTATGAGCATAGCTATAATTAGGAAAGATTTGTGCTATGAAAGTCCTGAAAAGTCATTATTTCATTTTTCATTGCTCCAACCCCGCTGCTGGATAGTTTGTGGCTTGCGACCACTATTCAATTTGTACACACATGCTGTCCACACAGGAGCGAACCAAGAACGCACAGTTCATCGTCATCTCGCTGCGCAACAACATGTTTGAGCTAGCTGACCGGCTGGTGGGCATCTACAAGACCCACAACTGCTCCAAGACGGTCTCCGTCAATCCCCGCAAGCTGGCCGCCCAGCTGCCACAGGTGGACCAACAGCAGCAGCAGCAGCAGCAGCCCCCTATCACCTGCCCCTGATGGCACAAAAGCCCAGCCCTGGACAGGTGAAGATGAAAACTCGGTCAGAATATAGCAGGTGGGCAGATTCACTCAGACGTGCAACATTTCCGGGGATCACTGGGAAAAATCACAAATTGACTGCTGTTAACAAATCGAAAAATACTTGACAAAACAAGTCTGGTGCAAGGTGGACTTTTTGGAGTTAATAGGGAAATAACCAATAATACCTTGTTAAATATCACTAAAAAAAATCCTTCAATTAGAAACACGTTGCATGAGTTGGCCAGAATGTTTCCGGAAAAGAGTACATTTGCAGGCAAGCTTATTTCCAAAATGTCATTTTTATGAAGACAAGCACTGATTGCTTTTTTCTAGTGATGCATTCCATCTATTGTAGCCATGGTACCATCTGTTAGCTCATTTCAACCTAATGTCTCCAAATATCCAGGCCAAACATTAAAGTTTCAACAGGTTCTTC